AAATTAGTTACACTCAAAAAATGCAATATTTTTTGCATTCAATTAAGCATATTTAGTTACTTTAACACAATTGTTTCATGGTCTTCCCTTCCAACATGAAACCATTGTTAAAGTAACTAAATATGCTTAAGTAGTTTCAAGAAAAGTATGAATGTACTTGTTGGGTTGTTGCTGACAATAAATAAAAAAGTGAAAAGGGATCTTTTCAGGTTTAATGTTGCAAAAACAATATCTGTAAAAAAAAAAATCAGCAAAATCATTTGGTTCCCTGTGAACTTTATTACATAATGAAACAAACTTAACTGTAAAGTGATGTGATCACATTAAAAAAATAAATCATTTCTCAATCGTTCATCCTTTTAGTTTGGCTGTATAGGGCTTTGATGAGTCAGAGGAAGTGTGACTGTTCACACTATGACTCAAAAATCTAAGAAACAAAGTCACTGAGCTGAACTTATTCTGTGCAGTAAAACTTCAAATTAAATTAGATCAGATAAGTCAGAAGAGCAGATAATGCTCAATGCATCTTTTATGCCTTAAGAGGTTTAGTACTTTGTAAATGATCCATTACAGCATCAGAATTTTATGTTTATTCATTTTTTTTGTTTGATGTTTTCTGATGTTTTTTTTGTTCTTTTTTGCTCCAAAACCACCTGTTGCCTAAACATAGATTTCACCTCTGCATGTGCCTCCAACTGGATTCAGATAAGTCTCAATGGAGATTGTTTAAACTACAGCACTAGATTTATTTTATTTCATTTTTTTTTTTTTTTTGCCGGCCCTTAGAATGACATAAGAACATGAGAATCCCTGTCCTTGAGTAACTCTGTAAATGTTCTTCTCCATGTTTGTTTTTTGTTTAGAATAAAATTTCTATCTGCTTCTCTAATGTTGGCAAAGTCCAATTATGTTTCCATTGTGATTTAAAAATTCTTATGAATGTAGGAGTGAGCGCTTTTCAAACGTTCCATCTTTCCAGAAGTTGAACAAAACAAAAAAAAGGTGTGACATAAACATATGCAGTTTATTCTCATTCTAAGAGAGGAAACCTGAGATATCAGTCTACAGAAATGTTCACATCTAAAAATTACAGAAATTCATATTCAGACAAATCTACAAATTTTTATTTATTTATTGCCAAGTTGAGGTTATAAATGTACAGTCTTCTACTGTTAACTTGAAAGATTGTTATACAAACCTATTTGTATTTAGCTAAGTGGTGTTCACTTGTCTTCAGCCATCTGTACTCACCAAATAGAATCTTATAGGAGTCAACTCCATGTTCGTATTTTAAGAAGCATGTTTTGGACTAATTAGAGCAGAGATTGTGGTAAAGGTCTTATCATCAACAAGGCTCTGACCCCATAGGTTTTGTCTCTGAAGAACGGTCAAAACCTTGAAAGAAGACTCCACAGAGTGTTTGAAACTCACTCCACATGTAGACGAACACGCTATATTTTCAAAAACGGCTTAGAAAAATGTTGAGTACACATGTGTATAAAACCCCAATGAAGACACTGTAATATATGAGTACATACAATTTTATGACACATGAATTTCCCAATTGAGAAAAAATGAAGCCTATTCTATTCTATTCTATTCTATTCTATTCTATTCTATTCTATCTATGGACACTGATCTCAGACTAATGGACTGGGCTTTCCAGTCCGTTAGAAGGCAGGTGGAAGATAGAAACTGGAAACCTAAGCTCCTTTTAAAATAATGTCAACAATGTGCGCCGAGTATGACGGAAGGAAGTCAACCGAGAATTCACCCGCTTAAATACTCAGGAACTGACAGTGAAGTCATCTGTGCAGATGAGTTATCAGCATACAGGATATCTAACCCTTTATGTCAAAACATGTCATATAACTGCTGCTTTGGCACCTGTTTAACCTATAGATTGACTTTGAGCGTTTTAAATATTAGCGAAATTGTAATTTCGAGCAGATTGCGAGGAAAAATATGAAGTTGTCATCAGATGGAAAAGAGCATGCTGCAATACTCCAAGGCCTATGCTTTAGCCATGTTTTCATGCCTAAATGACAGCAGAAATACATTGTGTTCCTCTTTATGTGGTTTTCGTTTCTCCACATTCTTCTCCTTGTGTCCCCATCACACGTCCTTCAAAGAAAGCATCTGCTGCACACCACTGCTAAGTCACAATGAAAACTCAGATCAGGTGAAAACCAGTCGATTCAGGAGGAAGTCATAAACTGAATTGCACAATCAAAGTTCATACCGCTGGACACATGTCGCGCAGGGCGCCGTTATAAAATGGGGAATTCGTTGTTGCAAAACCAGTTAAACTTGCATTTTACACATATCACAAGATGTTCAGTTAATCCTATGTGTTTCAGACCTTTCAAATGAGGCGTGCACGGTTATGAATATTTTATGAGCCTCTGAACAATGGTCTTTTCAATGGAGCTGGAAGATAATCAGACAGATGCACTTGATTGCAGCTGCTGCAACACAAACCCACTGAAAACATTTCACTGTGCAGCTACTGTTGAAGACGCCACAAGCGCCCGTGTTTGCCAGATTGGATTGGTTACTTTTGTGAAATTGATTCTGTTGCTGCTTATTTGTTGAGGAACTGATGCAACTCCCTGAAGAAATTACCAGCTTTTTTTCCTCTTTCCATGTCTCCCCCCCCCTCCAAAAAAAAAAAAAATTTCTTGTATTGCCTTGGCTCAGTGACACAGGCTTCACCATGCAAAGCCAAGACTAAGATGTGTGAGGAAAGCCAAGACACATGAAGAACCTATTAGGGGGCCTAGCAGCCAGCAGCAACCCTGGGAGGCCAGCCAACTGAGTGTGTGAACAATGGGAACCCAGCTCAACAAAAACATCCTGCAAAAGTGAGGGAGGGCGGGAGAAGCAGGGCAGATAACCCAGCTTGGCTGTGATGGTACCAAAACACAGAAGGGCTGGTGTTTAAAGGAGCTAACTTGCCTTTTGCTTGTATCCAGCCAGGAAAATGCATCAGGTCAGTGCAGTTCATGCACTGAAAAACTTTGAGCGGAGGTTAAGAGCAGTTCAGCTGCATCTCAGAGGAAAGAGGCTCAGCAGCTGCCTCAACCGATAGCACACGCTTTTTACGTGCCAGAGAAAACAGAAGAAAGAAAAACCGTAGTCCTTTCTCGACTGAAAACTCCCCTCAAAACCACAACCATTCTTTCCCTCTGAGTTGCAGCGTTTTGCTTTCTTTTTTTTTCAAGTCCAACAAAGCCAACACCCTGACACCAAAGTGTCGCAAGAGAAACACCTCTATCATGTGAAATGTTCTGCCGCTTTTCCCACGGCCTCTGTGTGAGGCAAAAGGAAGTTATACCTGATGAAAATAAATGTTACATTTCAAATTATGCAGCGGAAAAGAGTGGTGAATAAAAATAAAGGCAGTATTAACCTGTACACACATTTGAAACTAAGACTTAAAGCCTAACCCAACACGACTGATGGAGTTTCCTAACCCTTAAACTCACAGTCTATACAGCTGTGTTGTAATTTTATCCTAGCACAAACCCAGCTGTTATGAAAAGGGCTCAGAGGTTTAATAGAGAACATTAGCAAACAAGCAGCATCATAATGAACAAGAAACACGGCAGACAGGTCAGTGGAGATGGTTAAAAGCTGGACTAGGTTATGAAATGACAAGTTTTCATCATCTAGCTAAGCACTTTTTAATCCACCATATAAAAACAAAGGGTATATGGTTTAAGTGTAAATCGTGCAGGAAATGGCTTTACCCCTAAAACTGACAGGAGACCTGTGGTAATTCTGGAGGAGCTGCAGAGATTCACAGCTCAGGAGTTGAAAGGACAACTGTTACTAAGTAAAGCGGATGTTTGCATCCAGTCTTAGGCCCCGTCCACACGAAGTCAAAACTAACACGAAACGCTGATATTTTCCAAAACGTTTGCCGTAAAGACGGAGACGTAAAATAAATGTGAGCGTCCACACGAATGCATGAAAACGCTGCAAAATGTATGCCAGGCCTGTAAGTGGCGTGTGGACGGGGCCTTAGTTTAAACTGTTTGCAAATGTTTTGAACTATGTTTTCATTTCTGTCGTCTTTTTAATTACTCAACACCTTGTATCTTGCAAATCCTTTTGCAAGACACTTGATTTTTATTTATTTATTTTCAAAATACAAAGCTGTTAAAAATATTTAGTCCAGGCATTTTATATGTTTAAAACAAAGAAAAAACAAGCTTGAGGCAAAACCAGTGATTTTTTTTTTTTTTTTTTTAAACAAATCAGATTAATCAAATTAGTTTAATTTCCCATGATATGTTGGTGTGTTGGAGTAAAGCAGCAGGTTAAAGACCAAAGAAAAGCCAGAACAGCTGAATTACAGCAAAGCTGCACAAGTGAAGAGTGTTTTGGAAAGTTTGTGTGTGTGTGTGTGTAACATAAAACCATCTCTCCCACAACACACATAGGGGAGGGGACTCTACTTTTAAAACTGAGCCTACCCACAATGCACCAGGCTCCTTTATCCAGGCAGTGAAAGGATGAGGCCACGATGAATGACAAAAGGAAAGAACTGGGATCTGGGCTGTGCCTGACTTGGAAGCCCGGGAGGTGGTGGGAGGGGAGGTGTGTTTCTCAAACTCCTTCTATGAACATACTCCATTAAGGAGGAAGAAACTCATCCATACACAGGATCCTTTTTTTTTTTTTTCTTTTTAGTTTAATGATTTCTTTACTGGCTTGTACACAAACGTACAAAAATAATACAGCACTCCATTTCAATGTGACGTCACGTCACCATCATCACAGTGTTACAAATGTTCAAAAAGAAAAGAAAATACATAAAAAAAAAAAAACAGACAAGACGGAACATCTGCTTCACTCATTAAAGATTCATCTGTTTCCTCTTGCTTGAAATGAAGCAAAGACCAGAAACACAAGCTGACTGACCCCAAAAGAAAATTCTGCACTTACTTTCTTTCTCTCTTCCTTTTTTTTTTAAAACATTTTTTCTTCTCCTATTTTTCTAGAAAAAAAATATCATCTCACTCATGTACACCAGTCCGACAGCTGGCTCTGCTGGTCATAAATGTTATGACTCGGTGAGCCGAATAACCACACAAGCGTGCAATTTTTAACATCGTTACAATGATCTTACCATCAAATGTATTATTCCCCCTTTTAAAACGACACAACAGGAAGACAGCACTTCAGAAAAGAAAGTGCCCCGAGATATCATCATCATCATCATCAGCTTTGATATATATATCCATATGTATATATACATACACCCAATCACAGAGATACACACATCTTTGTTGAAAAATGTTTTTTTGTTTTTTTCCACAAAGTAAAACATACATTAGGACATTATCACCTGGAGCGTATACATATACAATAGTATTTTGTTGTGTTTGTGTTTTTTTTTTCTATTCAGAAAAAAAAATTAAATGTTGACATATAAAAGTCAACTTTTTAACGACAGTCATCAGTGCAATATTTTTTTTTCTCAAAAAAAAAAAAAAAAAAGAAAGATCAAGTTTAACACAAGCGATGCATATTTTTATTTGTTGCCTGATGCGTATCTATACCTTAACTTAGTGGAGCTATATTATAGGATTCCGGATGTTTATTTGTTTGTTTTTCCTGGGAAGTTCTCAGTCTGGCTTGATAACTGTTTTAAACCCGGTCACACGGGTCCCCATGAGAAGCAAACACAGTGTCAAAATAAAAGACACTTTTTTAAAAGCTTCTCATGAATTGGACCAGTATTGCTGTGAAGCAGTAGGCTTTAAAAAAAAAATCATAATTAAGAAAAGACATAAAACAAGCAGCATTGTTAAAAACAAATAGTTAGGGTGTCATGACTTTCAAAATGTAGCAGGCAAGCTTACAAAACCCAAATTTCCTGTTTTATCTGTTGTGTGACATCCTGCAATAGTCATGTGTTGTTATTTATCAATAAAGTCTTCATTGTCCATCAGTAAAAAGGATCCTGCTCAGTAGTAGAAAATATCCCAAAGCCTTCTGAAGTTACCCCCTTTGAACACTAGGGGCGCGCAAGGCTCTGTTTTTTGTGCAATAAAACTCCCTGCATTTATAAGTCATGCTATACAATGAAAAAATAATCATAAAACAGGCTGATAAGGACAGAGAGAGGACAGAGAGGGAGTGAGAGGAGTTTAGATGGGAAGCATGCTTTTGTCAGCACTGGTTTGGTTGTAGTGTAACATAACTGTTCTGACTGAGGAATGCATTGCATCTTCTGCACCGAAGTCCATCTTCTCTGTTAAAGTTACATAGCAGACAGATACTGGCATGATTGGTGGGGACAAACTGGGAGAAGGAAGAACAGCTTGAGAACACTTTACAGTCGAGGTAGCTGGGAAAAGGGCAACCAAATGGGAAAAAAAGTCAGCATAACTAAAAGTCCTTTTGAGGGTCAACAGGCTAAAGCTGTGTCGGTTATCTAAAGAGGGGGTTGCAGGTTTGGGTTTAAACAAAAAAAGAAGAGTCTGAAGCAGCTTGAGTCACCTACTATACTCTGACTCTACAGATGTTTTTCTTTTAAAAGTAGAACCACAACATATTCAAAAATGCATCTTCTCAATGTACCTTCATAAATATAAAAAAATAACAATAAAACCAGCCTGCTTTCACAGTGATGACTAGGGGTTAACAGAATACTGAAAGGAGATTATAAAGTGAAATCCAAATGTTCCTCTTTTTAAAAAACAACATATAAAGCGAAAGCAGCGGTTCTTAATACGATGACCACCAGGGCGGAGTGGTCGCACTGGCCTGAAAGGTTGGCACACCAGCAATGGCAAGATGTGTGTTTGCAGAGCCCATTCAGCAACTGTCAAAAAGGTAAAGCTATTGTGTACAGTACTTCACAACAATGATGGAGTCACTTGTTACACATGGTTCCTACGCTGTATGGAAAATGAAATCAATTCTCAAGAAATATATATATAATATTTGCATGTCCAGACTTTATTCACTGTCCCATTGTCTAAATAATGCATTCATCCATGTTTGCAGTCTGGGATTTTCGCAGGTTTCCTTTTCCAAAGCCTAAAATAAAATGTCTTAAAAATGTAGATTATAAACTTTGCAATGAGAATTGATTGATTTATGTCCAGAAGAGTGTGTAATTTGGACTTAAAAAATGAATCGGAACCCATATTTTATAAAAACATAGATGTAACTAAAATGATTTTCATTCTGAGTTAAACTGACTTAAGGGGAAAAAAGAGAGACCTCAGGAAACCAGCAAAAAGGCTTCTCCTCTCGTTCGCATGTCTTCCCTTTCAGATATTCCAGCATGCAGCCGAGCAGCATCAAGTGCCGTGTTTCACATAAAAATAACTTAACCAAAAAAATTTAAAAAAATGAAATTGGGTTTATACAATGAAGAGCAACAGGTCAAATCTGTGCTCCTGCAAAGAGAAAATTCTCTTTGAATTAAAAAACTGGGCCATCTGCACTCCGCAGTCCATACATAAACACACACTGTGGCAGCTTCTTCTATAATGATCTTGTATGAACATTCAAGACGAAAACTTTAAGTACCAACAAACTCACTGGAGTGAGGTGCTTTTTTTAAGAGCGCCGTGTGATTGTAAGTCAGAACCAGCCCGAGGCATAGGCAAACTAGAACACTGCTTAAGACCCCAAAACAATCAGGGGGCCCATCTTCCACATAGAATGTAGAGCTTAAAATGTTAGATTTATTTACAGAAATTTGTATACTTTTAAAGCTTATTAGATGCTCTCGAGAAAGTAAATTTCATAGATTTGAAATCGTCAGAGAATCAAGTTTTCTTTTTTAAAGGACACGTACTAGATGTAAATGTCTGTAGTTTGGTGTTTGAACCGTGAATTGGTTTAATATTATCTGCTTGATGTTTTATGGTGGATAAGTCTTTAAAATTTTCTTGAAATCACAATTTTTTTCCTGCAGTTACATATACAACTAAAAAGTTGTTACTGTTATTCCACAAAGTACCAAAAGGCAGCCTGGAATATTTTAAGCTCTTAGTGCTTGAAAACATTTTCTTTGACTTCACCTCTATTTAAATTTGCATTGAATTTAGCCCTAAAAGCATCATAGGATGTCTGAAATGTTAGTTTTTAAATCATTACAGAAGTGGAAGAAATGTGGCCCCCAAATCAAATTCTGCTAAAGGCTTCTTAGAGCCTCGGGCCGGCTCTGGTGCGCACCGATGGTTCTGCTTGATTTACAGTGATGGGAGATTAAATCATACATTTTGGCACAACTATGTAAATAATGGCAGCGGTTATTTATTTCTTCGTGCATTGCAGTTTAGGATGAAATTTGTTGCTGATGTGTTTTTTGTTTTATTAAAATGTTCTATTTTTACCTGACAGCAAAGACAGATCACCGGGCCCCAGAGGAATACTTGGCCTTGGTGATGAGGTATAGCACAATGTCCTGGTGGCCCCCGAAGGCGGCAATATGTAAAGCGCTCCACCCTTCCCTGTTAGCCAGTCGGATGTCTGCACCAAACTTCACCAGCAGCTTCACCAGCTCCAGGTTACCGTCGATCACAGACTGGTGGAGCGCTGTCTGTCCCTCTGGCCCGAAGGAATTGACGTTGAACTCGCAGTTTGTCATGTTCTGCAAAAGCGAGTGCAGCTCCTTGGTGTTGCCCTTCTTCACAGCCTCCTGGAAGACCCTCTGCGGCGCGGAGCAAGTCGAGACATCCGCCTGGCTCATGTTTGCAGCTCGCTGGAGGGTGAGGGGGGGGACGAGAAATAATCCTGTCTCGGCTCTAAAGCTGTGTCGAGCGTCTCTGGTCTGATACAGTGCCACAGTTATGCTGGATTTTACCCAGTTTTAAGGCACTTTAACGGTGAACGATCACTGGATATATCCCAAAAAGGACAAAAAGGGAAAATGGCACACTTGGTGTGCAAAAATGTGCAGAGAATATCCCCCTAAAATATAAAAGTGTCTAAAAGCGCTCCAGGGGTGTGTGGATGTAGTTTTCCTTCTCTAGTAGCAGCAGCAGGTAATCTGCACAAGGAGATGAAGAAAAGACACCTCCGATTTCACTGCGGAGACTGGCAGGATGACCACATTCACCAAAGTGCAGCCTCCTGGTTGCTGGATCCCTTCCTTCAGCGGTCCAACCAGCTTCCTGGCTATATGTCGCTGCTCATGTGGCCATGCAGATGTCTGAGAGAGAGAGAAATATAATAATCAAAGAATAATCACGAAAGATGTCCGCACGAATCCAAATTCCTTACACACATTCCGCCACATCCAGGAGTGACACAGCGCAGCAGAGGAACTGAGAGCTCCGTGCGCCACGGCTTTACGCACGGATCCCCCCAAGCTTGCGTCCATCAGCCAAAACCGCGATCCGCTTACTTACCTGCGACGGATGGACGGGTCCGTGTCCTGGCGACAGATAAACCACTTTGTGGCCCCGGGATGCGTGCGTTCCTCCTGGCGGTCCGTGTGAGTCTCTGAACTGCGCCGTGCTCCGGGCGAATATTTTTACGCGTCCTTTATTTGCATGACAATGCCTTCCCAAAGAATTAACAGTGGAGGAATGGGCGGAGTAGCACGGACGGTATAGGCTGCCGGTTGGGTTGAAGGGAGGGATCAGGGCCTTGCCTCTCTGTCTTTGGTTTGGGGGGGCGTGGTGTTGTAGAGAGAGAGAGAGAGAGAGAGTAGTTGGTGGTGGAGGGGGATTGGGGGTACAAATAATGTTGCTGCAGAAATATTAAAGCACTGGCAACGATTTCTGTATCCAATTTTTGTTTAGCTCTGTATCTGATCTCCTGCAAGTGGAAAGGATTAAAAGAAGGTTCAATAAGAACTGTTGAGGTTTTATAGGTAGCTATTATTCTGTCCCTAAACTGACTATAATTGTTGGGGGCCCACAACTTTGTTTACCACAACTCAGCTGATTTCTCCTTTTCTCATCCTTGCTGTACAATAAACTTGAGTAAACTAGTGCTGGCTACATTCAAAATATAAAATAGATGTTAGGAATAGCATTTAATCAATGTGAGGCCTCATTTTAGCAATAGCATTAATACACATTGGTCACATTTATGTGTTATTTTGATTTTTACACATAGACTAAATATATACAATATATTCTTAACCTATAAGTAGCTTTAAATTTATATTCGTACCAAATGTCATTTGTTTTTGGCTGTTTCACCAAGCAATATAGGTACACTTTTATATAAATAATCCTTTTACGCAAAGGGCAATTCCACCTGGAGTTCAGCAACACATTTTTTTTTATCTCACCGTTCAAAACTCTGGCTCATCTGCCCCTTTATGAAGCTCTATTAAAAGGTCTCTTTACATTGTGTAAAAAATGTCTAATGTATCATAACTATTAGTGTTTTAGACTCTGCTTCCCCACAGTATGATTTTGCCACCACCTTGCTTTATGTGCTTAAATTAAACATTTTATTGGACAAGGAGCTCAACTCAATACAGCAATGGCTGCAACAACTGTGACTTTATTGTTGCTACTTTATCAATTAAGCCAAATTTATGGAGATTATAACTATTTATGTGCTAGACTGTGACCCCTGCAGCTCCCCCAGAGTTACCATGTGCATCTTGGTTCCATCCTTTCCTGACAGTTAAGGTGAAAAGCTGTAAGGCTAGTTTCATTTTGACATCCTTAGCTGAACTGTGAAACTTATGATATTGTTTTATAAGAAGAACTAGCTTTAAACTTCTCTGCAACTTACCCATGACCGAATGCCTTTGATCATTGTCATTCTGCATGTTGAGTAATGTTCCCCAACAATCTTCTGAGGCCTAAACAAACCACCTGGATTTACTACTACACTGCAAAAATGATGTAGAAATAAGTCAACATTTCTTAAAGTTAGTGTATTTACCTTTAATTTTAGCAGGTGAATACCACAATTTGCCAATAAAATAAATATATTTAAAGATAATTGGATAGCGTGCACTTGAAATAAGACAATGCAGTTAAAGTTAAAATGTAACTTCTCTTGTTCCATTGGCAAAGTGTCACACTTTCTTTCTGAATTCAAGAAAAAATGCACTTATTTAAAGTAAAAATTTGGATTTTCAGGTTTTATTTTAGGGTATCAGTCTTAAGAATATTTTTTTTCAACCATGCATCTTTTTTCTTGCACTTACTAATAATGTTGGCATATAAATAAAACCCCAAATGAAACACATTGAAGTCTGTGAGTGTAATTATAGAAATAAGAGGGGTGGGAGGGGTACTGCATATCTCATGCTTGGTTCCAGGGGGTCCAAATGGCACAAAAGTTTGGACAAACCCAGCCTGCCTGCTGTATGGGCAGAAATGACCTCAGAACCAAAAGGTATAAATAGCAGTGAAATAAGTCCCAAACGGGCTTGGGCTCCCCGTGTAAAAACACCTCCGAGGAGGAGATTATAGGTGGCTGTTTAAATCATAAACGGCGGATATAGTCCAGTTGTTTTTAAAACGACTAGACTGTGGGACTTCAAATAACAAAAGCCCTGCGCTACTTCCTTTTTGCAAGTGAAAAGAGGTGACGCTGTGCGCAGATTGACACGCCGCTCAGCTGCCCCCACCACCGTGGGAACCGGGCGCCTGTGTGTGTCTTGGTGTGTGTGAGAAGAGAGAGAGAGAGGGGGGGAGAGAGAGAGAGGGAGGGAGGGGGTGTCGGTGGTGAAAGGCGCAAACACGGTGAGACGCAGAGAAAGTCATAGAGAAGCAGTGAGAGAAACCGCTGAGAAGGAACATCTCAGCCTTAACTTAGGCCCCGTCCACACGAAGTCAAAACGAACACGAAACGCTGATATTTTCCAAAACGTTTGCCGTAAAGACGGAGACGTAAAATAAATGTGAGCGTCCACACGAATGCATGAAAACGCTGCAAAATGTATGCCAGGCCTGTAAGTGGCGCTGTGGTGCCAAAGCAAAAATAAGCGACGAAATGTAGGGCATGCGCACTAATATTTATACATGGTTGCCCTGCGGGTCTATTTTCGTGGTTAAGTCAAATTCAGGTGCTGAACTATGTGGTCGATATTGCTCTGTTCTTCCTGGAGATATTCCAGAAGAAGAAGATTCTGTTGTAAGCCCGACCAGCCCGACAGCAGGGTGAGTAGCATTAGCAGCAACGGCGCCATTGTTGTTGTGATGTGTCGCGCTTGCGTGTTTAGAGGCGACGCTATGACGCATGCGTGTAAAAAAAAAAAATGCGGTTAGGGTGTAAACATGGAAACGCGAAAACGGCGTTTCAGAATCTTCCCACTCTGAAGGGTGAATAAAAAAATGATCGTTTACAGACCCCTGAAACGCCGGCTTCGTGTGGATGAGAGGCTGGTTTGGTGAAAAATTTGTGCGTTTAGGCCAGGGTTCGTCTTCGTGTGGACGGGGCCTCAGACAGCTCCGTTTGGTGGAGTTTATCTCATCTGTGTAACACTTTCTGAGTACCTCTCTGTTGTAACGGTTTCACACCTTCCTCTTTTTTCCCACACTCTGATCTCTACATATGGCGCACAATGTGATTCGGACGCGTCCCATGGATGGAGGATTTTCCACTAGTGTTCAAATTAAAAAGCTTTTAATTTCCTGTGATAACTTGTGGTTGTGAAGAAGGCTACCTACTATATTCCTTTTAATCCCCAGTAGTAACAAAATCTAAAATAAAGCACTTTATTTCTAACATATTTGTATCTACTTCATATCAAAAGAGGGAGGAAAAATACCCCATCACCAACACAAATGATTTCTTCTGGGACATTTCGGGCAAATGATAGCATGTAAAGGTTATTACGTTGATTGATTAATTGACTTTATTGATCTCACATTGGAGACATTTACTCATTACATCAGTTCAAATAGTCAAAAAGAAGAAGAAGATGCCAAAGTAAGAAAAGGTGCATGAGGGTATATACAGTGAGTCCATATATAGATAGATGGATAGATAGATATAACAGCTGAAGTCTATTTTTTTTAGCAGGATTATAGTACAGGGTTATTGCACAGGGTATTAAATAGTAATTGCACATTATACATTGAGTAAGCATGACTAAGCATTTCTTGGACAATATCCAAACCATGTGCAGATTTTGCTGCTGCTTGATGGGGACCAAGCTGACATGTAAAAATGGGTTTTAAGTTAGGATACCCCTGAGTTTACAAAGTATAACCCCTATCAACAAAATATATATTTGGTATAGGTTTCTAAATTATATACAATTATGCTTAAATTAAGAAACATATTTGGGACCCTTATGGCAGATACTCGTCAACCATAATGTTTTGTTTGTTTTTCACAGAGGTAATTTCTATAATTGGTTGACAAATCGTTATAAATCCAATTTCTGATATATATCTATATAATTCATATGGGCCCCAGTAGGATTTTTGCTGCAGCTGATGGGGACTGAGCCTGTGCTGATGCACCATTCCTTTGCAGCTGAAAAATGTGGGAAGATAATTTCCCACTAAGCAAAGCATCTATGAATTATATATTACTTTTGCATGGAGTTTTCCTGCATCAAAATTATAATGGCAATTATAAAAGGGAATCCTATGGGGACTTGTTGGATAGGTTTCGGGCCCTTACTGTAAATGTTGGCTGTGATCAGTTTGACTTATTTTTTATGACTAATTTCCCACAGTATGAGGTTTTCCAGCTGAAGTTGCAATAAGACGGCGTAAATGATTCTGTCAGATGTAATTAACATATAAGATATTAATATGACATAAAGAGACAATTATTTAGGCATATGCTTTAGATATTTTTGCATGCTTTCCATTTTTATTCCTCAGTGCTCAAACAGCTGCAAAATGATCCAAAAATAAAACCCTGCATGCAGGTCTGAGTCAGGATGAGAAACTTGATAAACTAAACTAAGGCTGATGTCGAAACACTTGAAACATACTTTCACTGACACCATTATAGTTTGGAAATCAACAATTAGATGATGAATATAGCTTCTGATTTTGGGGAAATTAAATTTCTATTATATAATTTCTTTTATGACTGTGATGTCTGGTGGGTCCCTATACTGACTCCCAAACACAGAGCAGATGGCTCCCAGCACCCCCGACCCCCACTTTACATCACATGAATGGGCAGAAACAGCAGGAGAAGAACTGAGGCAAGTTCTTCAGGATACCTGGATTAAAAATAGCAAAGAAATCAACTTAAACCTGCATGAACTTTGAAATGCTTTAGCCATGAAAACACACCTAGGGACTAATATTTGCATTTCTGCAGGTAAAAAAAAAAAAAAATCGTAAACATCTGTCCAGATGTTGTTTATTTTCTTTTAGGCTTGCTCTTTGCAGAACACTTCCTAGAAAACCAGGAACATCTGTCGGCCATCACGGCTTTAGTTGTACTTGGAAAGCATGTGTGCGCAAATTGAAGGAGCCAAAAGTTTCTCCCCCCTCTCAAACACATATAGCCTACTTCATTCCAATCTTTTTTTTTTTTTTTCGGAAATCCACTCGTTGTGTAATTTTCACAACGACGACAAAACTTTATTATTAATTATTATTATCATTATTTAAACATAAAATGCGCATCAGGCGCGCAGAAACTTCCCAAACCGATCCAAGGTCTGGCGCCTGGGAGCGAAGGGTCCGGGGCCAAAAAGGACAGTCCTCTGGCACACATGATGTTAAAACGTAAAAAATAAAAATAGAAAAAAAAATATCCCATTTATTTAGAGATTTAAAAATTTAGCATTAAAGGGAATTCTCAAATGTTTCGTCATTATAACCAGATTGTTTCAAATACATTCATAGGAAAGAATGTGTGTGTGAATGTGAAAGAGAGAGAGAGGTGACGTTTAACCAGGAGGGAGGGGCCTCTGAATCCAATTCATTCCGGACACCACGTGTCCACAGAGCGTGGGAAAGAGGCGAGCTTTTCTTCCCAGCGAAGAAAGAGCGTGGATCAAATAACACGGGGCTGCAGCACAGAGCTGTGTGCAGACAGGAGGTGCGACCACCCGGATAAGGACAGTCCGGGAGCCGCATCATAGTCATACCAATAAAATACACTTCAGGGAAGCTTAATAACTGCAGCAATTAAAAAAAAAAGTCTTATTCGTGAAAGCTCATGTCCACATGAGTGTCTGTTTTCCAGGATGTGTGATAGAGCAGAATGATTGTGCATGAGGTAAATCTGTATTGTAAAGCAATGATTGGCAGATTTCTGACTCTTTTATAAACTGCTGCCAACCCCAGTTTCTCATCAATCTTTTTTTTTCCAGATCATTAAATCCAATCTCTTATGATTTAGTTGGAAGCAATGAAATGTATTCTAAGGAAAACTATTTAAAAAGGCTGCTGGATGTTTGATATTAACTCTTAAGACTGGATTAAAAAAATCTAGAGGTGTGAATTACTCAATTTGTCATAATTCTGTTGTAATTACGCCTGCATAATCAGTTTGTGTTGCAGTTTATGTGTATTTGGGGGAAATGTTGATTTCTTCCCTGTGAAATCTTTCACATGCTCTTAAAAATTTTAAATGCATTCCCCATTTTCTTGTGGCAAAAAAAAAAAAGTATACAAAAATATCGACCCAAAATATGTTTTGGGTAAAGTATTTTATTTATTTATTCCATTTATCATGGCTGTAATCCGTCAAACTGTCATACTTTTTTTTCCTAACAGATTGAGATTTTCTCTCCTGTATTTACCCGTGCCAAACAGTACACATGGGAAAGATAAACTATATCTATTATTAGTATTATTATTTTTTTCAAATTTAAAGTGAATCAAAACCAGTAAATTAAGGCGATAAGTTGGATATTTGGGATGGAGGGGAAAAAAGGGTAATCAAAGCCATAATTTTTTCCAAATAAAATAAATGAAAGTGATTCATTTTCAGGCTAAAGACTGAAGATAAGTAAAGCAATCCAAAATATACTCTGATTTTAATGTCCAATTTTAAAATAGCATTTTTTTAAGCAAAGAATGAAGTGAAGTCAATTTCAAATTATTTTACAAGTAATTGGTTTACGACAAGGTTAGGTAAATGCTTTACAATAGTATGGAAAATAATGACAGCATATTCAAAGTGACTCGGGAATAAAAAAAAAAAATAAATTATATATATACATATATAGACTCAAAATGAAATCTTTATTCTGTTCACATTTCCAATGTTTTTGAAAATCACTGAGCCATTTAAGCCAAAAAAACCAAGAGATGGGTGATTTGTATAAAGTTGGTTTTTAGTTTGGACATCTTATGCAAAACATTACCTATTGTCATTCATGTGCAATACTATTCTCTCTCACTGTGTAATTTTTTACTTATTTATAAGGTCAGTACATCTCTGCAGTACAAGTGCTATAATCCAAGTCAACTACCATGTAGTCTTCCCTTAGCTCTCTACTGTGCAGATATTTTTATATCTAAAGGAAACATATTCCAGGACATTACAACATTTTTTATGCTCTTTTGTAGTATATATACTCTTTTTTATATTGTCTGTTGTATTTTTATTTTTATTGGCATCCTGCTTCAACTCTTTGTACTCTATATAAGCTACTGGAACCAAAATTTCCTTAAAGGAGTAATCCCAAAGGATAAATAAAGTTGAGTCTTCTGAAACTCATTACACGCCTCCAAAATCTCAGACTTTAACCCATTGGGTTAAGCCTCATTTCATGCAGTTGAACAAATTTACAGGTGGAAAAAATATAAGGGTTCTCATGGTATGCGAACATTTCTTCTTCTCTTCTCCTCTAGAGATGTGACCCTTCTTTTGCGTAATGTTACACCTGACAGATATCAGTGAATCTTAGATGATCTTATCATTCAGTCCATTTTTACTTCATAACCACCCGATTTGCATTAGAAATAAAAAGAAAAATCCATGTTGAATGAAACAAGTGATAATATGCTCTCAGTTTAATAATGAAATGAAAAATCAGTTTATTTTTGTATTGTCTAAACCATCAGACATTTTTGACATTTAACATACTCTCAATTCAAGAGCGTTCGATTTTAATAGCAACACAGAAAATTTGTACAAAAAAACATTTGATTTGAGAAATTTTCTTCAGTAGCATGAAAAAAAACAATATACTCTTGACACATGTTGGTTTGAGATGTCTAGCTGTACCGACATTTGTTTTCTATGCTCCTCACTTCTGTAAATGAATTATTCGTAATTTACACTTCCATTTGTTTTTAAACTTCATCTTTAAATGTTTAACGCACTAGAAAAAAAGAGGATTGCTTTTCTTTTAAGAAAGGTACACTTTTACTGTACAAATTGAACTCCGACGCTGATAAGAACAGATTTTTCTTTTTGCCATCATGCTCAGTAAGTAGGCTGGTAATATAATAACCACTAAAACAATCTAAATTTCAACCAGACGTGAACTTTATGTAATTCTACTGTGACTAAAACTGGAACTTCTTTTGTCAGAACAAACTAAAACAGAAATTTACATCAACATCAGTGAAACATCTGGTGTGAAACAAATAAACATGAAGAAAATAAAGTATGGTTGATGTTTGTTGTACTGTGGCATTGTTTCTCCACTTAAGACCTTGTTAACACTGGTTAAACAATTTCAACATGAACTCTTTGACACACCAAAGACATACAAAATTATCTTTCGGAGTCTGGAAAGACTTTTAGGAGGAAAATGGTAAATAATAAATGGAAAAACTAAAAACTAGACAGTCTTAATCTTATAGAAAACCCATGAGGTGAGCTGAGGAGAAGAGAGCATAAAAATTCCCCAGTACTGTGGATGATCTGGTAAAGCAATACATTCACTCTAATAGTGGGGAAGGATAATATATATCCTTTACAGTAAAAAAAAAAACAAAACTTTCAGATTCCTTAGGCTGGGAAAAAAGTTAACAATTCCTTGTATCAACAAAGCTGGCATCCCAGACCGAGCAAGTGAAAGTAGCACCAGTGCAGCTCCTCTTACACTCCACTTCTCACCTACTCTCTAATTCTGCCCTTTGACTTGGTGGCTCAAAGAGTGATAGAGCCATACACTGGCTGCATGCTATAGTGCAGAAAAATAAATACTCTCAACCTGAAAAGACTACAAAAGCTGAATCAAATAATATAAATATGGACATAAAACAAAAAAAATCTAAAACTTTTAAAAAGACCATTCATCCATTTCTCACTCAAGTAAAAAAAACAAACAAACCAGACAAATTAACAGTACTCTTAAGAACATGGCACCAGTTGCTCTGGGCATTGTGTCTATTGCCCAGCAGCTGAGATACTGTCCTCATCTGTTACGTGTAAGACTTCCTGGAACATAGAGAGGACACGGTCAAAGTGAGAGCCTTCCCAGAACACCTTGCCACATCTGGTGCAGACGTAGAACAGCGGTATCCTCTGCAGCAGGCCGGGGGGCACGGTGTGCAGCTGAATAGGTGACCCTCCGGGAAAGGTCAGGGTGTCACGGTCCAGTCCTGAAAGGGAGGCCCAGCGACACTGAGTGGCGTACCTGGGGGGTTCAGGGGTCGTGCTGAGGGTCACAGTGTCATTGAGCCTCAGCTCTTCCTGCTGACAGGATTTCTCCAGCATCCCCTCAGTGTTGTGATCCTGCAGAAATCCTGGAGAAAACCAATAAAACAAATTCATTTTAAATGTCCTACAGATAAAGGTGACTGGAAGCAAAAATAAATAAATAATAGCAGGAGGAGGATAATCTAAATAATCCTATTACTACATTTTCAGTTGAGTGTAGTATACCTTTATCTTTGAGCATTGTTACCATGTCAGCTCTGGGAATCGCCACATATTGATCACTGTTACATGCCTGAAGAAAACAACAAGAGAAAAGCAACAGATGAGAGATAGGAGAGAAAAAATAATCCACTTCAAACCTTTATTTTGAAAAATAAGGGATACCAAAACCACTGAATCACATGTCTACAGGGACACACTTTCATTCTTAATTACAGAAGAAAATTAAACATTTTTCTAATGCTAAAAATATGGACTTTAATCTGGCCCATTGCAACAATAAAAAACAAATCTTAAAGTTTAACCCTGAAGACATGTCAAAATGTACTTATTTTTTTATTTGAAAATAGACAAAAAGTAAAAAAATTTCTTGATTATCTAAAGAACAAGTAATCTTTTTTTCTCAGTGAAATATTATCCAATAGTTTAATAATTACTTTTAATAATTATTTATAGCTTTAGATAATAACAAACAGTACTGTTAAACATTTTTCGGGAGAAGGTGAAATATTTGATGAGTTGGGGAAAAACATCCCCAGCCTATGACCCTGTTTCATTAGGTTGAACGTGAAGGTGTGGATCTGGATGTTTTTACCAGCCGGCAGCAGAAGATTAATTTTCCAACTGATTCAGCATTAGCAGGAAGGTTCACCTCAGCGATTTTTCATAGCTCCCAAATGAAGCGTCAGACAGGTGTTAAACCATCTAAAAGCAGGATTTGCAGGGCTTTTTCACTCGAGTTGACCTTTTCACATCGATACCAATCAGACATTTTCCCAGGTTACTCCTTCAGTGTGAAAAAGGGGCAAGTGTTACTGAAAGATCCGATCAGGATGTTAGAGTGTCAGGAAAGACACTACTGACGCCCGAGTGATTTTCACACGCTCCTGCCGTCCTGTTCTTCTTCACGATAAAGGTCTCCCTTGGTGGGACATTAGTGACCTCCTGCTTGCCGGCCCCTAAAACGAACACACGCTTGTCTGTAAGCCATCCTGACAACACGTCAGTGCTAAAAGCCTTGTCAACACACCTGAGCTCCACCCTGTAAACAGCATTCCACTCAGGAGTGGGCAGTAAATCAAATCTGGCTCATAAGAGAGAGATCTTTAACAGGCTCGCTTAAGCCTTGTCACTCTTTACCTGGGAAAAATCAGGAGAAAAGCAGGAGACTACACCCACTCAGCACAAAAGCAGGTCGTCTCCTCTGTGTGCACATGCAGGGCGATGTTTGCCTCTGTGGCGACTGAGGTCAGGACATGAAAAAGCTGCAAGAGACAGTGGAGGTGTGGGAACAGCAGAGGTGTCTGTTTTATAACGACGAGGCTTTCTTTCTCCCCTGATGCACCATAGTCCCATCTTTACACTCTCTCTCTAGTCACATAAACAAGCTAATAACTAACCAAAAAAGTTGACAACTGGCCCAAAATTTGCAAAAGTACATCATATACAGGTGCTGGTCATAAAATTAGAATATCATGAAAAAGTAGATTGATTTCAGTAATTCCATTTAAAAAGTGAAACTTGTATATTATATTCATACATTACATACAAACTCATATATTTCAGATGTTTATTTTGTTTAATTTTAATGATTACAAATGACAACAAATGAAAATCTCAAATTCATCATATCAGAAAATTAGAATATTGTGAAAAGGTTCAAAATTGATGGCCCCTGGTGCCACACTCTAATCAGCTAATTAACTCAATTCACCTGCAAAAGCCTTTAAATGGTCTTTCAGTCTAGTTCTATAGGCTACACAATCATGGGGAAGACTGCTGACTTGACAGTTGTCCAAAAGACGACCATCGACACCTTGCACAAGGAGGGCAAGACACAAAAGGTCATCGCTAAAGAGGCTGGCTGTTCACAGAGCTCAGTGTCCAAGCACATTAATAGAGAGGCGAAGGGAAGGAAAAGATGTGGTCGAAAAAAGTGTACAAGCAAGAGAGATAACCGCACCCTGGAGAGGATTGTGAAACAAAACCCATTCAAAAATGTGGGGGAGATTCACAAAGAGTGGACTGCAGCTGGAGTGAGTGCTTCAAGAACCACCACACACAGACGTATGAAAGACATGGGTTTCTGCTGTCGCATTCCTTGTGTCAAGCCACTCTTGAAACACAGACAGCGTCAGAAGCGTCTTGCCTGGGCTAAAGAGAAACAGGACTGGACTGCTGGTGAGTGGTCCAAAGTCATGTTCTCTGATGAAAGTAAATTTTGCATTTCCTTTGGAAATCAAGGTCCCAGAGTCTGGAGGAAAAGAAGAGAGGCACTTCATCCACGTTGCTTGAAGTCCAGTGTAAAGTTTCCACAGTCAGTGATGGTTTGGGGTGCCATGTCATCTGCTGGTGTTGGTCCATTGTGTTTTCTGAGGTCCAGGGTCAACGCAGCCACATACCAGGAAGTTTTAGAGCACTTCATGCTTCCTGCAGCTGACCAACTTTTTGGAGATGCAGATTTCATTTTCCAACAGGACTTGGCACCTGCACACAGTGCCAAAGCTACCAGTACCTGGTTGAAGGACCATGGTATCCCTGTTCTTAATTGGCCAGCAAACTCTCCTGACCTTAACCCCATAGAAAATCTATGGGGTATTGTGAAGAAGAAGATGCAATACACCAGACCCAACAATTCAGAAGAGCTGAAAGCCACTATTAGAGCAACCTGGGCTATCATAACACCTGAGCAGTGCCACAGACTGATCGACTCCATGCCACGCCGCATTGCTGCAGTAATACAGGCCAAAGGAGGCCCAACTAAATACTGAGTGCTGTACATGCTCATACTTTTCATGTTCATACTTTTCAGTTGGCCAACATTTCTATAAATCCTTTGTTTTTATTGGTCTTCAGTAATATTCTAATTTTCTGATATGATGAATTTGAGATTTTCATTTGTTGTCATTTGTAATCATCAAAATTAAACAAAATAAACATCTGAAATATATGAGTTTGTATGTAATGTATGAATATAATATACAAGTTTCACTTTTTAAATGGAATTACTGAAATCAATCTATTTTTTCATGATATTCTAATTTTATGACCAGCACCTGTATACTTCCACGTGTGATCATGACGGTGGGGACAAGCACGACAGGGCGAGCTATTTGTTCAGCTCAAAGTTTCCCAGGTTGGAGCATGCCAGAACCTGCAATGAACTCAGGCCGGCAGACAAACACATCATCTCACACACGCAATCCTGGATACAAGAAATTCAAAATCAAGCAAATTACAATCCAGTCATGGAGAGGTTGAATTTACAGCTAATTTTACTGGGGAGAACATTTTTAATTTCTCATTCTTTATAGTAATAAAAAAAAAAAGAGCTACATTAAAAAGCCAGTGTTTGTTTTAAATATTTTACAAGATACATTTAATTTTGGACTTTTTGATACCTTATTCAAGACCACCATGATTTACAGAAACTAAATAAAACCTAAAAGAAAATTAAACAAAGATTATTTTTCTAAACTGAAGCAGATTATACCTAACTTTCACAAAATTAAGTTCAAATTTGTTTGGCGAATCTGCTTACCTTATTTAAATGCTTTTTTACTGTATAGAATCAAAGAGCAAATGAATGACTATAACTCCAGACTATTTGAAAGTTCAAGCATGCAGCTGCTATGGGAGGCACATTCACACACAAAGTACTTTTTCCTCTCAAGTTTTCATTACATTTATGTTAAATAATTTTAACAAGAATTAAAATAAAATGTTTTCATGTCTTTTAAGTCTCGATGCATCTTTTCTTGGTTTGTCCTAACACTATTAACTGAAGTGATGGCTCCAGATTGTTCATATGTCTCCCAGGTGCATGAACACCTCTGTGTTTCGTAGTATTTTATAATCTATGAAACTATGGCCTGTTCTTTGAAGTTTATTTTTAAAATATATTAATTATGCATTAACTGCAACCATTTTGTGTATAAAAAGGACTATTTTATGTTTTTCCATCTCTTTTTTTAAAAATGTCATGTTTCTTTAGCGAGCCACTTTTATAGAGCTGATCAAATTTGTAACACAGAGTTTCAAAAGATCAGAGTTTATGCAAAAATGAGTAAAAAAAGGGGGATAGATGAGAGGTTTAAAAAAAAAGAAAAAAACATAGGAGGTGGGTGATTTCCCCCCCCTTAACAAGCTCAAACAGACAGACACATGCTTTCTCTCAGCACTGTAGGCAGCTCCCATGGGAAAATCCTCCATCAATCTTAAAAGGCGGCGTCTCTTGGGTCACATGGTTTGAGCAGCCAATCATGACGTGTTAAACCAATTCAAACTGTGGTTAGTCAGGTAAGGGGCAGCGTGGGAACCGGTGGGAAGAGTGTAAGAGGGGAGCGGAAATGATTCACCTCTGTTTCCTAATAAATAGCCTTTGATTTGTGTTTGCAAGCAAATCATAAAGACAAAAAAAAACGAACCCAGCATCTTATATTGCTGAAGTATAAAACATTTACTTTTTTTTTCTTTCTAGAAATCTTAACTGCCCTTCCAGGAAAGTCAAGAACAAGAGCTAAAAAATATAGGTTGTTCCCATGATACCGTGTCTGGGAAACTGTGTCACTGCTGATTCTTTCTGCTGATCAGACAGAAAATTCTACTGCTGCTGTGAAATCGGTGAGATTTACGAGCCCTTCTGGGACAGGCATCGTTTGCATTGTCCTGCAAAGGCGGCATCCTTGGGAGGCCTTTGTTGCTGCTTTATATGAACAGAAAAGCACTTGGACTTTTAAAATAGAACTGTATTGTCAGCTTTTGGTGTTGTCTGCTGTGGCGTCGTCTTCTGGTTACACAAGGGGTCGGCTGGTTACTGGTACCAAGCTATGAAAGGTCATTTTTAGGAGTTGCAGCCTTCAGATTTAAGACCAAGATGAAAATTAAAACACATGAAGAAGATAAATCTTCTAGAGTTTCCAGTAAAGGTTCACGTGATTACACAAAGAGATTTAAGTCTTGAAGTAGCTGAAGAGCACAAGACCATGATGTTATCACCTCCATGTTTGACTGCAGGTATGGAGGTCTTTTTCTGAAATGGCAGAAGTGACCCCTATTGAAACAGTATTTCAT